AATCAGGATGGGTGTGTCAGAGACAGTGAGATTGGCACAGGCTAGAGCAGGGTTTAGGGCTGTTGTACATAGGGTTGCTATGGATCGCAAGCAACTCAATGGCACATAACAACAACAACAGTATGTCTCCTGATTTTCCTGACTGATGGTACTAAAGTTGTCAATTGTGGATCCAAGCAAGATGACGCTGTCAGTAGTTTCAGTCTCCTCTACATCATCATGATGCCTGTAGGTCCAGTGGTAAGAATCTTTTTCTTCCTGACACTGCGATGTAGTCCATACTGAAGGCTGCATTTCTTGATCTTTTGCAATAAGTGCTTCAAGCCCTCCTCTCTTTGAGCAAGTAGAGTTGTGCCATCTGCGTAATGCAGGTTTTTGATGAGGCTCCCTCCAATCCTGATGCCACACTACCAAATACATACCAGTTTTAATGACATGAACGATCTGAAATGACTGAAATTGCTAAACACAATATCTCTTTGAGTCCTCTTTGCAGTGATGTACCTCTTATTTTGGGCTGTTGTACATAGTGCTTAATCATATATTCCTTTTAAATAGCAACAGTGAATGAATTTTTTTATAAAGAAAACGTGAACTGGGGTGGGGGAGGGGGTAAAAAGTGCAACAATGAATAATGAAAACCTAAATTCTGTGTAAATGTTCATTAAAATCACAATTAAAATAAAATTTTATTTAAAAGGAAAAGGTATGGAAATAAAGGTGGATTCCTAGGGTACCCATTTCCTTATTTTGAACCATGCAGTGTTTCCTTGCTCTGTTCTGATGACTACCTCCTGGTCCAAGTATAGGTTTCACATTAGCACAATCAAATGTTCTGGGATTCCCATTCTTCTCAGAGTCAGCCACAGTTTGTTGTGATCCACACAGTCAAATACCTTTACATAGTCAGTAAAGTAAATAGTGAAATACAAAGTCAATGTATAAAATGCTTCTTACGTATCTGTATAATTACTCTGCTGTTCAGTGCCATCTAGTCCAGTTTGACTTGTAGCGGCCCTCTGAACAATCTATCTGTGCGCAGCCCTCTCCTGCATCACACTTAGCCCCGACACACTTGGCCCATTGCTGCAGTCACTGTGTCAGTCTGTCTTGCTGCGAGCCTTCCTCTACTTCCCTGACTTTCCACCTTGCCAAGCATGATGTCATTTTCTAAGGAATAGCCTCTGCTAAAAACATACACAAAACATGTGAGATGAAACGTCATCATCCTGGCGTCCAAGGAGCACTCTGGACGTACTTGGAGCACTTTCTCCAAGACATGCCTATTTATTCTTCTGGTATTCCATGGGAACGTCAGCGTTCTTCTCCAACACCACAATTCAGAGGAGTTAGTTCTTCTGTCATCTTATTTATTGTCCTGTTCTCAGAGACCAGATGATTGGAAAAGCCATGGCTTTTAATAGGCACACTTTTGTCTTTAAAGTTACATCATTGCTCTTCCATACTTTGTCGAGGTCTCAGACAATTGTCTTTCCCAATGTTATATGTCTCCTGATCTTTTGACTGCTGATATTAAGGGGCTTGATTGTTGATCCAAGTAAGATGAAAATGTTAGCAGTTTTAGTCTTTTCTCCATCTATCATAATGGTGCCAGTTGATGTACTTGTGAAGATTTTTGTTTTCTTGATGTTGAGATGTAATATATATTGACAGCTGGTCATCTTCAACAAACACCTCAAGTCCTCCTTGCCTTCAGCAAGCAGTTATGTGTGGTATAACAGAGGTTGTTGATGAGTCATCTCCAATCTTGAGACCACATTCTTCAAGATAAAGTCCAGCTTCTTGAATGATTTGCTCAGCAAACAGATTAAATGGGTATGGAGAAAGGATTCAGCCTCCAACACACTTCTTGTTGAAGATTGTTAAAAAATGGTTAGAACCATACATTGATAGAGACCTTCCAGAAGTTCAGGCTGGGTTTAGAAGAGGCCATGATGACAGGGGTATCACTGCTGATGGCAGATGGATCCTGGCTGAGAGCAACGAATACCAGAGGGATGTCTCTCTGTGCTTTATTGGCTGGATGACAATGAGTTAGTCATACGTAATAAGTGCAGATGGTCATTGCAAAGGCAGAAGAGGAAGAAAAGACCAAAATGGATGTCAGAAGAGACTCTGAAGATTGCACTGGAACGTAGAGAAGCCAAAGCACAAGGAAGAATTCAAGATACTAAAGAGTTGAATAGAAGATTTCAAAAGGCAGCACGGAATGACAGCGAAATACAACAATGAAATGTGCAAGGAGTTGGAGTCGAAAAATCAAAAGGGCCGATCTCGCTCAGCATTTCTTAAGCTCAAGGAACTGAAGAACAAATTCAAACCTCGAGTTGCTATAATCAAGGATGCTTTCGGCAGAATGTTAAATGATCCAGGAACTATTAAAAGAAGATGGAAAAAATATACTGAATCACTGTTTCGAAAGGAATTGGCAGACAAAGAAGAATTTCATGAAACAACATATGAGAAAGAGCCTATGGTGATGAAAGAAGAACTTCAAGCTGCTTTCAAGGAAATGGCAAAAGAAAAAATAAGGCTCCAGGAATAGTTGGTATACCAACTGACATATTTCAGCTAACAGATGCTGCCCTGGATGTGCTCACTAAGTTGTGCCAAGATATCTGGAGAACAACCACTTGGCCAACTGACTGGAAGAGATCTGTATTTGTTCCCATCCAAAAGAAAGGTGACCCAACAGAGTGTGGAAGCTATAGAACAAATCTCATTGATTTCACATACAAGCAACATTCTGCTGAAGATTATCCAAAAACGACTGGAACAGCACATCAGCAGAGAACTGCCAGAAGTCCAGGCTGGGTTTAGAAGGGGTCATGGTACTAGGGATATTGTAGCTGATGTTAGATGGATCTTAACTGAAAGCAGAGAATACCAGAGGAATGTCTATCTGTGTTTCATTTACTATGCAAAGGCATTTGTGTGGATCAAAAACTGTGTCTGACTCTGAGAAGAATGGGAATCCCAGAACACTTGATCGTTCTAATGCGAAACCTATACTTGGACCAGGAGGCAGTCGTCAGAACAGAGCAAGGAACACTGCATGGTTCAAAATTGGGAAGGGTATATACCAGCGATGTTTCCTGTCTCCATACCTTTTCAACTTGTATGCAGAACAGATCATTCGGGAGGCTGGACTCTGTGAGGAGAGGTGTGGTGTCAGGATTGGTGGAAGATTCATCATCAATCTGTGTTATGCAGATGACACAACCCTGCTTGCTGAAACTGAGGAGGACTTGAAGCACCTTGCTGCAGAGGGTCAAGGACTGCAGCCTCCAATATGGATTGAGGCTCAATGTCAAGAAGACAAAATTCTCACCACTGGACCTATTGGCAGCATCAGGATGGATGGTGAAGAGATTGAGATTATTCACAGCTTTAGTTTGCTTGGCTCCACAGTCAACACTCTTGGCACCAGTAGCCAGGAAATTAAAAGGTGCATTGCCATTGGAAAGTCTGCTGTTAGGGACCTCTGCAAAGTACTGAAGAGCAATGGTGTCTCTCTGGAAACTAAGGTGCTTCTGATACAGGCCATGGTCTTCACAATCACTTGTTATGCATCAGAGTTGGACAGTGACCAAGGAGGATAGAAGGAGAATTGATGCCTTTGAGCTGTGGTACTGGAGAAGAGTATTGAGAGTACCATGGACTGCTAGGAAAACAAACAGATTCATCCTGGAAAGGGTTAAACCGGGTGGCTCCTTGAAGGCAAGGATTCTGAGGCTCTGTCTAACATACTTTGGACATGTTGTGAGGAGAGACCGGTCCTTGGAGAAGGACATCATGTTTGGGAGGGTGGAGGGACGGCGCAGGAGCGGAAGGCCCTGTATGAGGTGGATTGATTCAGTGACTGGGATAATTGGGATGGGAGTGTCAGGGACAGTGCGATTGGCACAGGACAGAGCCGAGTTTAGGGCTGTTGTACATAGGGTCGCTATGAGTTGCAAGCGACTCGACGGCACATAACAACAACAACAATAGTTAAGTACATATAGGTCATTGAATTTATAAGACATTTTTCAGTGTTAGTAAAATTAATTAAGATGATTGGTTAAAACAAATATGGTCATATGAAACCTATATACGGACAGATGCAGTTGTCTAAACAGGACAAGGGAATATTGCATGGTGCAAGGTGTGCCTTAGGGTTATATCCTTTGTTCACACCTATTCGGTCTGCATGCTGAACAAATTATTTGAGAGTCTAAACTCTCTGGAGAAGAATGTGGCATCAAGAATCAGAGGAAGGCTCATCAAAAACCTGTGTTACACAGATGACACAACCTTACTTGCTGAAAGTGAGGAGGACTTGAAATGCTTGCTTGTAGAATTTTAAAAGATATAGCCTTCAGTATGGATTACATTTCAGCATCAAGAAAATAAAAATCCTTTCCACTGGACCAGTAGACAAAATAAAAAACATGGAGGAAAGATTAAAGTTGCCAGTGATTTCGTTTTGCTTGGATCTAAAGTCATCACTCATGGCAGCAGGAGTCAGACAATCAAAAGCCATTGCATTAGGCAAATGTGCTGTGGAGGACTTCCTGAAAATGCTAGAGTGGGGATGTGTGCTTAAAGACCTTAGGGGAATGTACCTGATCCAGACTGTCACAGTTGCTTCCTGTGCATCTCACAGGTGCGTAATGAGTAAGAGTTGAAGACTTTGAGTTGTGGTGTTGACAGAGAGTGCTGAATATCCCATGACCTGCTGAAGGAAAAAACAAGTCTGTCCTGGAGGAAGTGTAGCCAGAGTACTTCAGGCATCTTGTTATGAGGGGCTGTTTCTTGGAAAAAGACATCATGATGGGAAAAATGGGGGGTCAGAAAAAGAGGCTGACTTTTCAGTTTAGGTTAAGGATTGACAAAATATCTGCAGCCGTGAACGTGACCATGGCCGAGATCCTGAGGATGGTGCAGGATGGGACAGTCGTGATCCACTGTGCATAGGGTTGGTGTGAGTTGTGGTTGACTTGCTGACTACAATATTTATATACATATATAATAATTAAGTATATATAAACATCCTCTCATGCAGTTTACAGCTTCTGAAAACATGCTGGAGGCTCAGCTAGGAGTCAGTTCTGACTCAGGGGAATGTGTGTGTATATACATCCATGGTGGACAGGGTTTGGTAGAGCTCTCCAATGAAGACAGGCTTGGAAGCAAAGATTGGCATCCACTTTGTAACACGTTGATGGTAAAACATAAAAAGTTGTTTGTAAGCACGGTCGTCAATTAAAAGTGTGCGGCAAAATTAAACAACACGCCTTTGGAAACGGAACATTAGAAAAACGACAATAGCTATAGAACAAGGTTCAGATCTTTTGTTCATAGGGTCTCAATGAGTCATACTGAACTCGATGGCACTTGACAACCACATATATAAGTAATAATGGGTACGTTCTGGTCTAAATTCTGATAAACAGATTCAAATATTAAAATGTAAATGATAGTATGTCTAAAACCATTTTCCTAATAAAGCTTAATCAAACCCATTTTGTATTGAAAAACTACAAGCATAATTTAAATATTTTAATTTTTACTTTGAAATTGATTCCCAAATGTCATCTGTATTAAGGGTGTGTAAGTAAATAATTTTATGTTTGATCATGTTAATAATATAGCTTTTGTAAATTTAGTAACCGTTTGGAAAATTCCCTGCTCTTAATATTTCCGTTTTCCTTTATTCTTTCCTAAAATAAATTATCTTAATGATTTTCTCTTTTTTGAGCACTTTTTAATTTATTAAAGTTCATATTTAAAATACTTATTTTTGTTTATTTTCTGTAGATATGTGACAACAGTTATATCGTGGTGCAGAAAACTGACCCAGGCTGGACTGAGCGAGATGTCCACACAGCCTTCATCCTCTGTTCTTGAAGAAAGCTGGTATTTCTATTCCTTTTAACTTTGTAATATGTTTAGGAAGACCAACTTTTTGTACATTAGTGATGCCAGGTCAGAACCAAGTCTTGGCCTGACCCACTAACAGGTTTTCAGAGGCTGTAAGTTGCACGGGCAGAGATTGCCCATCTTTCTCCCACAGGGTAGCTGGTAGATTCAAATTAACTGCTTTGAAGGACCGATCACCACTTAAAAATTAAAGTAGTAAAAAAAAAAGAAAGAAATTAAATATGAAATGGTAAGCACTGAGAGTTTTGGTGGTTGGTTTTTTTAGTTCTTAAAAGAGATAAAGCTTTATTAGTAAGTACTCCACATCTTAGTGACTTTAAACAAGCATCGTGTCATCTGCGTATCTAAGAGTGTTAACGATTCTTTTCCTGATGTGAGGTTCTTCTTGATAAAATGCAGTTTCTTGGGTTATTCATGAATTAATTACATAGAGAGTTTTTTAACAAAAACTTGCTGTTGTAATTGAACTTAATTAACTCATAATGTTTGTTTTTAAATTCTTGGTTTTGTTATTTATTTTTTTAATCAGACTTCTAATTTTTTAGGGATCTCTGGTGGCCTAGTGGTAAGGAGCTGTGCTGCCAACGCACTGTCAGGCAGTTCTAAACCACCAGCTGCACCGCAGGAGACAGCCTCCGAAAACCTGTAGCAGGGTCAGCTGGGAGTCTGTTCTCAATCAATGGCAATGAGTTTGGATTTTCCACTTTATTATATTTCATCTTGAATCCAAAACACTTTACATTTAAAGTTCACGTCAAAATTATTGAGTATTTTATGTGGTAAAGTCATCATAAAATGTAATGTAAAGTTTTGAAAAGATTTAAAAATTTTAAAAATACTAAGGAAGGAAGGAAGCCGGTTGAGCAATTTAATAAGCTTCCCGAAAAAGCCGGCCGGACAGAGCGTGGAGCAGCGCCTAGTGGACAGCAGGAGCACTACATCTTAAAAAACAAGTAGCTTTCCATTTATTTTTTAAATATACAATTAGAAGAATTGGGAAAAGAAACCCGAGTGTGCTCGCAGCACTGGTGACCCTCCTTTCTGGGACCAGGTCTCCTAGCCGGGGCTGTGCCTTCATTCGCCTGTCGACCTGTCGTGGCAAGTACACCGAGATGCTGAACTGAGTGGTTTTGAGCTTTTCTCCTTCCCTCCCCAGGGGGCAAGAAACAAAACAGGTTTCATTAATAAGATCCAGAGTGAGAATAATCTCAAGGAAGTGCATTTTCTCAGTATCTGCGGAGTTTTTGTTGCGCACCATGTGGATGATTTTGTGCCGATTTCTGCCTGATCTGCCCAGTGAACGTGGAGTGACATCATTCAGGGTGTACGTCTGTGGTTGTCGCCCAGCACAGCGAGAGGCCTGGCTGCTGCGGGCCCTTGGTGTCCGCCTTCCACTCCTCCTGACGTGGAGGCTGTGCCTCAGCTAGACCAGGAACACGATATTCGGTCTTGCCCACTGACATGTTTGCCTCTCGAGCCTTTCCATGCCATGACCTGTTGAGTGTGCTTATCTCATTTCCAAATGAGCGGCACAGATGTGAGTACACTGCAGTGCTTTGTGAAGCACATCAGCTCCCCATCACTTTGGGTTTATTCCCAGCAGTCAGGGAGTAACTGTAAAACGGTCTACAAAACTCCAGCTCCCCTTCACTTTGGGTTTACTCCCAGCAGTCAGGGAGTAACTGTAAAACGGTCTACAAAACTCCCTAAAGGCTCATCTGAAAAAATGATTAGGTGATAGAAGACTGTATCAACACCTCCACTGAGTTCTTCATGGCTGCCCGTTGAGTCAGGTAAACACAGAGTTCTTCTAGTTTTTTCTGTTGAAAATTCTGTCCCTCAGTGAAAAAGTGAAAATGCCTATATAAAATTGTGTGGATAGAAAAGAACTCAGGTAACTATCATGAACTGAACTTTTTTTCTTTCTTTGCATGCTCAGGTCTGTTGCTTCTGAACTTGAGAAGATACAGAAGTTTAACTGTATCCTTGAATCAGAATATATTGTCCTTTATATCTCCTCCATTTCCAACTAAGGGTAATTCAAGATGTGGTACTTTATGAATTTGAATCCACACCTAATGTACTGCTGAGATCTACCAAAGGCACATAAAGAGATTTGAAGTTTGTGATCTCAGAGAGCACTGCTGAAAGTAGATCATGTTAATATTTGTACTTTCATTTGGGTTTTAAGTCACCATTTAAACGTACTGAAGTAGACTTAAGGTCTTCTCTGGAAACATTTCCACTTAAATAATTATGTTCTAAATTATGAGTATTTGAGACCACCCGTGACTCCTTTGTCTTATGAAATGTTTAATATTGTACAGGTCAGAGACAGTAAGACTGGCACAGGATGGAACAGAATTCAGAGCTATGAGTTGCAAGCGACTTAATGGCACATACAACAACAACAGTATCTAATAGACAAGAAAAGAAGACGTAGGAGCAGAGGGCTGTGAGCGCCTCCCTGAAAGGGCCAGAGGGAGTGACAATAGCACAACTCTGTACCACCTCCAGAGCAGAAAGCAGATAAAGAGCCCGCAGGCCCACTCCACGTGCCTCTATAGAACCACACCAGCAGCAAGCAGCTCGTTTAATCATTGTTGACCCACAGACTAGGGTGCTGAGAGAGGGTTTATTAGGAAGTAAGGTGGAGAAAACAGAAGGCAAAGAATGTTACCCACTGCAAGTCCAGAGTTTAGCTCAGCAGTCCCAAGGCACAGTACCTCAGTTAGTCCAGGCTCCTGTTTCTGTTCAGCAGTCAGCTTCTCTTTCCATCATCTCGCAAGAACAGCAAAACTTATAACTGTGGCCTTTATCTCAGGGCTTCTCTGGTTACATTTGCCAGAGTTTCACCACCACCATCATCAGAGTCTCGCCCTCACCAGGATCTCACCCTCACCAGGATCTTGCTCCAATATCCCTCAAGTCTTGCTGTCTATTGTGGGAAGTGATCTCTCTCTCTCTCTCTCTCATCCTAGCCCCATATCTGTTGATGATTTTCAAGACCATGTGTCTGCAGTTAACATAGATGAAGACCAGAAGGTAATGCCTAGAAAAGCCAGCTTTGAAGCCAACACTGCATACAGTCCCATCCTTATATCTAAATCTATCTTCTGGTTTTTGTTTAATCTGGGGCTTCAGACTTGTTCTTCTCAGGTCACTTATGGCCAGTGACATGAAACCGGAATAGGCAGCATTTGAAATGGAACAATAATTGGAATGGAATAAATGATCAGGGATTGCAGACATAATGATGCCCAGTTAAAAACTTAATCCCTCTCTTAGAAAAAAAAGGACAGGATACTTCTTGCATAGCCACCAAATCTCTTAACTGACCGAGTTTGAAATAACAGTGCCCTACTGTTAAGCTCTTCCTTGGAGAGGGACATCATGCTTGGGAGGTGGAGGGACAGTGAAAGAGAGGAAGACTCTCAACCAGGTGGATTGACACAATGACGGCAGCAACAGGCTCCAGTATGTCAGGAATGATGATGATGATGGCACAGGACAGGACAGGGTTCAGATAAATTATTCATAGGATCACTAAGAGTGTACTTGACATGACAGCGTCTAATAACAACTCTTAAGTCAGAGGCCTCCTGCATCAGATCCTCTGGAACACTCACTCCACCCTTTGGTCTTCCGTGCTGGGACTCTACCACAATTTAAAATATTTTGTTCTGTTCTGAATTTGTTTCTGCAACAGAAGACAACTTTCTTCTCAGTTTAAAAAGTCAAGCATTTTAACTTTATATTGTGATTTAAGTGAAAATTTACCAAACTGACTTTCCATTCAGTCATTTATAAACATTTTCTGTTCTGTTATTGATTACAGTCCCATGTTGTAACAGCTCTTCCTGCTTCCTTGATTCTTATTCCCATTAATCCTCCTATCCAATCCATCCACCTTCTGAGCAATCCTCCTGGGCAACACTGGCCTTTTGATGATATATGGCTGCTGGAGTGCATCCCTCCCTGTTAATGTTCACCATACAGGCTTTTCTGTTAGCCTGAAAGTTTCTGTGTCCTGTTCTGGGCTTGAGGAATGACTAAGGGACTACTTCTTGGGGTTCTGCTGTTCACCACGCTGTCAGACCAATGGACTGGGTATTATTAGGACTCTAGGTTTAGTCCACAATTTTCCCCCACTCTCTCCAGGACCATGAATTGTGATTCCTTTCACAGTGGTCAGCAGTGGTGATCAGGCACCATCTCTTCATTTCAGGGTCGAGGAGGTGGAGGTATATGGGGTTGTTAGTGCTCTGGACTAATTGTTTCCACTTTTATTTTATTTTTATTGTCTGCACTGTTTGTTTGGGGCAAGGAGAGACTGATGTTTTCACCTTACATGACCACTCATAAACTTTGCAGTCCCTAGGTAATGACCACAGTCATTGCTTATCAAAGTAGGATATAGAAAACTGTCTTTGTATAACATATTCACTGTTACTTGATGTCCCTTGTGTCTGTGGTCCTTGTGCTCCAAGGCCACCAACCCATTCCCTCAGGGACTGGCTGTGATTAAGGCACTTACATAGTGCTACCACCTTTGGCTCTACTCTATACCCATAATAATACATACTTATGGAACATACTGATATGTATAAAGAATTTCTGTCTGCTAAACCTTTGACCTGTCCATTTTTTGGTGGCTGTTGTAAATTGTATTGTTTTTATTTCCTTTTCAGAGTTCTCTTTGTTGGTGTAGAGGATTCCAGCTGATTTCTGTACATCGACCTTGAACTCTGTCACTCCGTTCCAGTAATTTTCTTGCTGAATCTCTCGGGTTTTCTATGTTCAGGAGCAGATCATCTGTAAACAGTGCTACTCTTTCATTATCAATGTGGTTGGTTTTTATTTTTGTTTCTTCTTTTTTTTGTAATTGAGATTTTAGTGAAAGTTTATAGAGAACTTGAATTTCCATTCATTCATTGTTGCACATTTTCCTGCATTCCCACTCCCCGCCCCCTGCCCCCAGTTCACTTTTCTCTTTGAAAAAAAAAATTCTTTCATTGTTGTACGGTCCTCTTCCCCCTGTCCACTTTACTACGCAGCTCTTATTCTGTACTGTTGTCATGCAAATATACCTAATCATATATTTCTTTTAAGCAGCTTTTTTCCCCTCATCTGTTTCAATGCAGTGTACATTATTTTTCCCCATTTCTTAGTTTTTCCCCAACCCTGATGTCAGTCCTGTTTTATAACTGGCATTATGCAATATTTGACCTTTTGTGACTGAGATATTTCACTCAGCATAATGTTCTCCAGAGTCACTCATTTTGTGTATTTCATGAGTTACTTGTTTTTTGGTGCTGCATAGTAATCCATTGTGTGAATACATCACAGCTTCTCTATCTTTTCGTCTGTTGATTGACATTTGGGTTGTTTCCATCTCTCTGCTATTGTGAACAATACAGCAGTAAATATGGGTGAGAATATATCTGCTTGGGTGTCAGTTTTGATTTATTTAGGGTATATTCCCAGTAGTGGAATTGCTGGGTCAAATGATATTTCTATTTCCAACTTTTTGAGAAAAGGCCATACAGCTTTCCATACTGGTTGCACCATTTTACACTCCCACGAATAGTGAATAGGGTTCCAGTCTCTCCACAACCTCACCAGTATTTCTTGTTTGCCACTCTGTTGAATTTTGCTATTTGTTTTGATTTGTATCTCTCTTAGAGCTAGGGATTTTGAGAATTTCTTTATGTGTTTGTTCGCCATCTGACGGTCTTCTTTGGTGAAGTGTCTGTTCATACCCTGTGCCCATTTTTCAGTTGGATTGTTTACATTTATCTTGTGGTGCTCGAGTCTTCTATAAATTCTAGATATTAGTCCCTTGTCAGATATGTCATTACCAAGTATTTTTTTCCCAGTCTGTGCCTTCCCTTTTTACCCTGTTGGAGAAGTTTTGTGATGCGCATCGGGATTTGATTCTTAGAAGGTCCCATTCATCTATTTTATCTTCTCCTCACTAGGTTTTTTAGGATGCTTGGATGACTGTTTATGCTGTGGGTTAGGGTTTCTAGAGTTCTTCCAAGCTTTTCTCTGATGAAGTTTATAGTCCTTGGTTTTAGTCCTAGATCCTTGATCCACGTTGAGTTGGTTTTTGAGGTGTGAGGTGTGGGTCTGACTTGGGTCTGACATTTCTGCAGATAGTTGTCCAATTTTGCCAACACCATTTGCTTAAAAGGCTGTCTTTTCCCCTCTTAACTGATTTCATCTGCTTGTCAAAATGAGTTGAGCATCGGTAATGGGCTGATTGTTTCTTGACTTTTTGCCCTGGCTAGGACTTCAGGTGCAGTGCTGAGTAGGAGTTGTGATAGAGCATTAACGTTTGCAAGGTTAATTGCTCCCTCCATTGAAAATAATGTTGGCTTTGGTTTTGTATATATGCCTTTAGTTATATTGAGGAATTTCCCTTCTCTTGCTACTTTGCTGTGAGTTTTTAACAGGAATAGATGTTGGGTGTTATCAGTTGCCTTTTTTACAACAGTGAGTATGATCATGTGGTGTTGATTGGTTTTCCAAGGTCTTTTGTTGTTGTTAGGTGCTGTCGAGTCGAGCACAACTCATAGCAACCCCATGAACAAAATAATCTGAACTCTGTGCTATCCTGTGCCATCCTCACACCTCCTGACACATAAAAGCCAATTGCAGCAGTCACTGTGTCAGTCCACTTGTCTTCCTCTTCTTTTCCGACCCTCCACCCTTCCCAGCATCATATCCTTCTTCAAGGACTAGCCTCACCTAGCAACATGCCCAAAGTTTGTGAGGCAAAGCTTCATCATTCTTGCCTCCAAAGAACACTCCAGCTGCACTCTTTCCAAGACATATCTGTTCTCTTGGCCGTCCATGGGATGTTTAGAGCTCTTCTCCAACACCAAAGCTCAAAGGCCTCAGTTGTTCTGTCATTCTTATTTATTGTCCAGCTCTCAGAAGCATAGTAAGTGATCAGAAAGACCATACCCTAAATCACACATACCTTAGTCCTCAAACTGATCCAAGGTCTAACACTTGCTCATAATCTTAAATTTTTTTAAATTAAAAAAATAGAAACACTGCAGATTGTTCATAATCCTATAATTTCTTGTCTATTTCCCTATCATCCTATATTACTTTTTCACTTAGATAAGTGTTACTGAGAATGTAATTTGGTTTCCTACCCACTGCCTATTTCCATCCCAACTCACATGCTTGTCCTCTCCTTGCTTCCCCTTCTAACAACCTAGCCAGCTTTTTCAGCTGTAACGGGTGGACTCCAAGCACTCTGAAGTCCCACTCTAAAACATTTGAACCGCAGAGATCTTCCATCCAGTTGAGAATATTTTAACAAAAGGTCATGATTTCTGAGAATAAAAGGATAATTAAAACCACAGAGGGAAGTTCCTTAACCCCATGAACTCAGTGCTGCTGGAGAGCAGTGGCATCCTCGGGCGGATTCCTGACAAGGAAAACCAGCTGTCTCCTGATCCCTGCAAACCAGCATCTTCTGAAACCTGGCTAGAAGTTCATGAGAAGAGTGTATCAGTCGCATTGAAAAAGACCTCTGAAATTCTACAGGATATTGACTCTCTCCTGTCAAAGACTAAAAAGTAAAACCGAACTATGGTGACATTAAGTTTTAAGTGTGTTGCGAGTGACTGATAAAACCAATTATTAGTGAGCCAAGTAATTGTATATATCTAAACAGTGATCATGTAAGAATCAATATTTAACTTTGCAGATATTTTACCTAACTTGCAAATTATAATATGTATTTCTGTTTTGTTAGTAGAGACTATAAGAATAAAGAACAGTAAAAAAAAATTTAGTTCATTAATTCTAGTTCAATCATGTAAGGAAAAAAGTCTAAAAAGTTTGTTA